GGCTTTGACCGCAATCCTCATATCTCAGCCTCCTGCATAGCTAGGATGATAAGCATGGGACACTGGCACCTGGCTGATTTTATTTTTAATCATCAGGCATCCACACTCAGAACATGCAAGTTGAACTGAAGGCGCATTGAGCTAAAGTTAAAGGTTCATGTATCCTAAAGTTAAAGGTTTTAAGTATCCGTGAAAGTGTTTCATGTTCAAGATTGGCATGCTGCTTAAATGAGTGGCAGTTTTAGGAGCTTGGCAGGTTCGCTGATTATTGTGTTTTTTTTTCTGGTAGGTTCTGAATCTTTCAAATGGCATAGAGGAGATCGTAAGCCCCGAGAACGTCTGGAATGGCATTCCCAAATTAGACCAGGGTCCGTCTGAGGTATGGAATTAGGAAACAATCAAATGTGAGCATGTGGTCTTCATTTTGAAACGGGATGCAGCAAGCCTTCCAAAGCCCTTGCATTAGAAAAAATGAAGGGGGGAAAAAAATCTTGTGTTTCTAACAACAGCAGGGCTGGGCACAGAAGCGCATGCCTGTTATCCCAGCCTTCAAGAGCTGAGGCAGGAGCATGGTAGGCTTGAGGCCAGCCTGAACTCCTTAGCAAGCTCCTGTGTCAAAAACCAAAACCAAAAACCAATGCAAAAGAGCAGCAAAACCAGTGCTCTGGACGTTTTAATGTCATGCGTCATCTGGGGGAAAAATGATACAACATCTTATTCAAAATGATAACGTTGTATCCCTTGATTTTTTTTCACTCTGAGTTTAATGAATGAAAAGTTGTTTGGTGTTAATGACCCATGTCTAATTTGAAGGTGCTGTTAAGAATATCCATTTTTATAAATAATCCACTTAATTTCCCTCAAAATGGTCAATGTTCTGAGTTGCTTACCGTCCTAGCTGCACAGGGAGGCAGATGCTCCGCTGTAACCCGTGGCTGGCTGGGCACCAGGCCTGTCATCCTGCTTTAGGGACCGCCTGGCTGGCTCTGACACATACCTGTCATCCTACCGATGTACAAATAGGAGGACCACAGTCCAGGCCAGCCTGAGCATAAGGCAAGGACCTCTCAAAAATCCCCAAAGGGCTGGGAGAGTAGAGTTAGCAAATATGAACTTCCAAGCTCAAACCCTAGAATCACACACACACACACACACACACACCAGCCAATATTAGGAGATATTCTGACATGATACTTCCAAGTCATTGTGATCTGGGTATCTTTCTTATTATATCTCTTAGAATTTTTTAATCTGAAATATTTCATTTTCCCTACATTATATCAAGCAGGATATATGGAGTTATGCAGAATACATATATTCCTCTTCATTAAGTGTTAAGTGGCTTACCTTGGACCACATTTGAATAGCAATTCCTTGGAAATTCCTCATTCCCTGGCCAAACACTGAAGTTGCCAGGGGTCTGGAGCCCAAAAATTGGATAAGGAAACTGAACTCCCTGAATGAAATGCCCTGTATGAAATGGTGATGTTTCAGAGAAAGGAGTATTTGAAGACTAGAAAATATATAGGATGGGGCTGGAAGATGGCTCAGTGGTAGAGTGCTTGCCTTGCATGTATGAGGCCCTGGGTTCGATTCCTCAGCACCACATAAAGCCAGAAGTGGCACTTTGGCTCAAGTGGTAGAGCACTCGCCTTGAGCCGAAGAGCTGAGGGATAGTGTCCAAGCCCAGAAAGAAAATATATAGGAAGTGTTCCTTCATTATGAAATAGGATTGTCATACTTGTGAAGGGAATACTTTTATTGTTTATCATCTTTTTTCTGGCTTGTCTATGGTTCTGTTTCTGATTCAAATTGCAATGTACTTACCCTGTTTAAAAAACTGATTATAATTCCAAGGTTCTTTTTGTCAGGCTGTCTTCCAAACAATGGGAAAAGATCATTACTTTCTGTCACCAGATGTCACAATGACAGGTAAGTCAAGTTTTCTATAAAAATTATATCATCTACAATGGCCAAGCCTTACAGATACCATTTTCCCGAGTCTCTCAATCAAAATGATTTGTTAATTTCCTTGAGCATTTGTAGTACCAAAAATTTTAAAAAAAGACAATGCTTAAATGGGCTTATGGGGATAAATAACCCAGAGGAAGATGTCTTGTAGTGTCTTGTAACATCAGAAGACATTTGTGTTGGCTGATTGAAGAAATCTTGAAAGTAAAAGAATGAGTGATAAATTCTTAACTTGCACAGTTTCAGAGTTTTTCATCAGCCTTAATTAAGGTTATAATGTGCACATGATCACTGCTCATATTTGGGAATTTCTGAAAGTTTAGTTTATCTGTAGATGTTGTAAGAATTGCACATTACCATTTGTAAACAGCTCTTTGGTTTTTCGAATTGAGGTCCACTCAGAATAAAGTTAGTTCTGGGAAGGAGACACCCTTGCTAACCTCATTCCTGAAAAATGGAGACTCTGCTGATTTCATATTCTTCTAAAGAAACTCCATATGAATGGTGCAAGAACCAAAACATTAAGAAGAAAAGCCGTTGTTGGCCGAGGAGCATTCTCTGCCCTGATGAGCCTAGTGGTCTCTCTCTCTTTCCTCGTTCAGAAGACATTTACACAGAAATGAGCAAATCATTTCTGTATTTCCATGTCTCTTTCTCAGCTTAAGGATTTTCTCTCCTTGTTTCAGAAAAGGAGTGTGGTGATGACCTGGATTAATTACAGACCCATGGTGGGACCAGAAGTTGCTCTGAAAGGAGACACACCTTACCTAGACCAAGAGTATTTGAGAAACCCTGAGGTCATGTGACTGCCAGTCACCATCTTTGGAAATGAAGCTGGTCTCAGGTTGCCCAGCTAGTGTGTTCAGAGTGGGATTGCTGGACATGCAGGAGGATTTAGTTTGCAAAACAAATTTGCTAACACATTACTACATTTCCCCCCAAAAATTATTGGTACCTTTTCGATATAGCATTTGCATTAGAATAGGAAAAATGTAAGTTCAGGACAAGTACATAGTGCGATGCTACGTAGGAGGGTGGTTTTGTTAGCAGTCGCTTGTTCAGATTTTTGTTTGTTTGTTTTGATTTTGAAGCTTTGCCTTATATCTGTCTAGTTAAACATTTAACTACTATTCTGTTTGGAAGTTCGAAGTATGCTAATACAACACAAGATTTGAATAAAGTTTATCTGAAAAGGCATGGTGGCCTCATTTAATTTTTATCGAATTGTTCCAACTTTTCTCCTCCGTAATTGTGGAGAGAGGGTGGGAGAGTATATTAAATGTTAGTCACCTGGCTGGACTTATTATGAATATTGTGTGTATGTGTGTGCGTGTATGTGCATGTGTCCAGTGATGGGCCTTGAGCTCTTGTCTCTTAGCTTTTCCTGCTGCAGACTGGTGCTCTACCTCATGAGCCACACCCCCACTTCCAGCTTTTGTCCTGGCTAAGAGAGATTAAGAGTCTCACAGACTTTTCCTGCCCAGGCTGGCTTTGAACCATGACCCTTAGACCTCAGCCTTCTTGAGTATCAGCTGGACTTGAAAGACCTTTTTGTTTCTATTTTTTACCATCCACCCTGACATGCATAGTAATGTTGCCCCTCTTTTACAGGTTAAAAAACTAGATGCTTTATAAACACGTTAAAGAAATTGCTTGGGCCTTTTTGCATGTCTTGTGGTATGAGACGCGTACAGCCCCTAGCTTTGGACGTCTGCCTTAGGTGCGTGTGCTTTCTAGTCTGGTGACTGAGATGGGTGTGAAAATACCTTTGAATCTTGCTCTTCCTCATCTGTAAAATGTTGATGATCAAAGTGTTACTGCAGTGTTGATGGCAGGAATAATTTGTGGCATGGGCCCGAAACAGAGTAGGCATTCCACCTCCGATTAGGACTTGAGACACAAAGGGGAAGGGTGGAAGGAGGGGGGAGGGGACCAAGGAAGAAGACTAGGTGAGAAAATATGAGCACAGTGCATGCATGCTTGGAAATACCCTGTTGAAACTCCCACGATGTCATTTAGAATGAACCAATGCAAAAGTCCCCTTGAAGGAAACACATACAACTGGAATGTTTGTCAGTTTATCAGTCAGTAAGAAGTTTGGCCAAATGATAACAGGAAAAGGGGACAGGTGCAAATCTAGGAAACATTGTCAAATGTTAATGCCTAACGCCAAGTAGTGAAAAGTAGGAACCTTAAACACTTGGTATATTGCTTCCATAAAGTGGAAAAGTGTTTCCATTAAAAAGAGTTGAGGGCTGGGAAGGTGGCTTAGTGGTAGAGTGCTTGCCTAGCGTGCATGAGCCCCTGGGTTCGAGTCCTCAGTACTACCTACACAGAAAAAGCCAGAAGTGGCACTGTGGCTTGAGTGGTAGTCTGCTAGCCTTGAGCAAAAGAAGCTTCAGGGACAGTGCTCAAGCCCTGATTTCAAGCCCCAGGACCAGCAAAAAAAAAAAAAAAAAGTGTTGAGTAAGACATGGATAGCTCATGCCTATAATCCTGGCTATACCCAGGAGGCTAAGATTTGAGGATTGTAGTTCAAAGCCAGCCTGGTGCAATATGGCCATGAGACTCTTATTTCCAGTTAACCTGTTAAAAAACAAAAAAGCTGGAAGTGGAGGTATGGCTGAAGTGGTAGAGCATTAGCGTTAAGAAAAACTCAGATGGCACCGGGCCTGGAGTTCAGGCCCCAGGAACCACAACACACACAATGCAAATGAAATTAAGTGTTACTCTGAATGTTTGCTTAATTTGCTACTATGTTACACCACCACTGGAATCTCTGGAATGTCCTGTGCTACCTGTAACACCAATGGCTCCTTTGTTGGATGTGTGGAGAGAAAGCATTAGAAGTGAAGACGAATTACTTCTTGGCTCAGTTGTCCCTGCCTTGTCTCCAATAGTCTTAGCCTTATCTGCTTTTCCTTACCAGGGCCAGAAGTCAAAGAGAAACTGCCCAATTCTGGAAGATTACATTATTAAAACAATACTGTTCATAATAGCAAAAGATAAGACCATCTAACTGTATGGTGTGTTTAAGGAATCTTGCAGCATCCCAACTGTTTACCATTGGCACTGTATCTTTTTAATAAACTCTCCCATTAAAGCCATACAAAAGCAGTTTTAAATTTTGGTACTATATATAAAAAAAGATCATTTTAGTAAAATTACAATTGGGGCTGGTATATTTGTTACAGTTAAAGAAAAAAAAATCTTAGCCTGAGTCCCAATCACTATTCTAATACGGCTTGCCTTTTTAAGATTAAAAAATTAACTCTCTTCCCTTCCCTCCTTCCCTGCCCACCCCCCTTAAAATAAATTCTATTTGTCCATGGAGGCTTGGGTGGTGGTTGTGTCAAGTGGGAAGCCTGGAATAAGGTTTACATCATCTCCTTCCATCAGCGGGTCCCATTGATCAAAGTCTTTTTCAAGTCCTATAAGATTGCAACAAAACAAAAACATGAAAAAAAAAAAAAAAAGAATGAAATGATTTGACAGCATTAGTTCGGTGCCGCTAGGGGGCACCCTAGAATCACAAATGACACAAACAGGGCAGGGATTGTAGAGCTGAGTAAACTGTCCCAGAACAGAGGTTCACCCTGCTGCTGTCATTCTCCACACAAAGTCCAGCCAGGAAGCCTGTTAACCTTAACAATAGATGGCGTCTTGCCATATCTCGCATGCAGTGCAACACTTGCTCAGATTTTTGTGTTCAAAACGGGTTTACAGCCTCGTTCCACTGGAAAGTAAGGCTGAGTGAGGATGAGAGAGAACCAACCAGCTTAGGCCACGGAAGCCACGGAAGCACCCGCCCCTCTTACCTAAATACTTTTGCAAGAATGCTAAGGAGGCTTTGTTGTTGAGGTCCATCACTACATTTGAGTCCAGGTTGCCTTTCAATGTAAGTTTCTGCCCAAGGATTTTACCCGTTGCAAAAGTGAAGTCGGCAAAATTCTGATGCACTGAACCCCTAAATGAGGAAGGAAGACACAACTCATATTGCTTGATAGATCATTCTTGTAGTTAAGATGCAGGAAATCTATCTACCCAATTGGCCTATGAGCTAAAAGTCAGGGACACAACACTTGGAACTGACCTCCTTAGAACCTAGTTTAGGGCTCCTAAAATACCATTCATTGTCTCTGTAGAGGGGGAAAAATCCTCAATCAATCTTGTCCCAACTTTGTAGGAGGTGAGACTACTTCCAAACGCAGTAGGTGGAGAGAGAGAGAGAGTGGTGTGTGTGTGTGTGTGTGTGTGCGTGGTGTATGTGTGTGTGGTGTGTGTTTATATGTGTGTGTGGGTATGTGTATGTATGTGTGTGTGTGGGGTGTGTGTGTTGTGTGTGTATGTGCCTGTGTGTGTGTGCGTGTGTGTGTGCGTGTGTGTGTATGCATGTGTGTGTGTGTGTGTGGTGGTGTGTGGTGTGTGTGTGGTGTGTGTGTGGTGTGTGTGTGTGTGGTGTGTGTATGTGCATGTGTGTATGTGTGTGTATGTGTGTGGTGTGTGTGTGTGGTGTGTGTATGTGTGTGTATGTGTGTGGGGTGTGTGTGTGCACGTGTGTGTATGTGTGTGTGGTGTGTGTGTGTATATGTGTGTTGGGGTGTGTATGTGTGTGTGTATGTGTGGGGTGTGTGTGCGCATGTGTATGTGTGTGGGGTGTGTGTGGTGTGTGTATGTGTGTGTGGTGTGTGGTGTGTGTGTATGCGTGTTTGTGGTGTGTGTGGTGTGTGTGTGTGGTGTGTGTGGTGTGTGTGTGTGGTGTGTGTGGTGTGTGTGTTGCATATGTGTGTGTGGTGTGTGTTGCATATGTGTGTGTGTGGTGTGTGTGTGTGTTGCATATGTGTGTGTGGTGTATGTGTATGTGTGTGTGTTGTGTGTGTGCACGTGTGTGGTGTGTGTGTGGATGTGTGTGTGGTGTGTGTGTGTGGTGTGTGTGTATGTGCGTGTGTGGTGTGTGTGTATGTGTGTGGTGTGTGTGTATGTGTGTGTGTGTGTGTGTGGTGTGTATGTGCGTGTGTGTGTGTGTATCTGTGTGTGTGGTGTGTGTGGTGTGTGTGAATGTGTGTGTGTGTGGTGTGTGTATGTGTGCGTGTGTGTGGTGTGTGTGTGTATGTGCGTGTGTGTGTGGTGTGTGTGGTGTGTGTGAATGTGTGTGTGTATGGTGTGTG